ATATATATTTGTAACTCGAATCTCTTGAAAATTTGAAAATTTTTACAATTTTGATGATTTGATGATTTTTTCGCAATATCTTTGATATCTTAAAATATTGTCCATCTATTATTTCCTCTGATGACATACATCTTCTTCATCGTGTGCACATCTCTGCTCCGTTAAACAGCGCAAATTTTCGTTCAAACAATTTACTCTTTGACGCTTTCAACGTGAAAAAAAAGAAGAAGAAAAAGAAGAAGAAGAAGAAGAAGAAAAAGAAAAAGGAAAAAAAGAAAGGAATCAAAAGAAAGGAGCAATTTTCATTCAAATGATTCGTTCTTTGATGCTTTCAACGAAAAACAAAAGGAAAAGAAAAAGAGGATCACCTCGTAAATACGAAACCAAAAGCGTCAAGACTCGATTCAGCTATAAAAGTGGCGAGATTTCAATAAACATCCTCGACGTTGAGCATTTGCAATTTATGCAAATCGTGACGACAGCGAATCCGTCGATGCTTTGTCTCGCGAACGAGGCAAGAATCGGTCCTGGATCCGCACGTCCATTCATTCTAAAAAGCCACGAGACCGGTGAAGTCATGGGGCCTACGGTAGGAAGCGAAGGCAATGCCAGATGCGATTTGAATATCCGTGGGTGTCCCTCCTTCTCTATTCCTCTCCTTCTCTCTTTCTACGTCCTCCATCGCGCGAATTCGCGCTCACGCCTGTTACCATTTACCATCTCCGTATATGTAATTCATTGAGCGAAGAAGGAACAATAGGAACGGTTGCGCCGAGGACTTTTCATGATTATACGGTGCTCAAGCTGTGATTACCGTGTACCGATCCTTGTAGTGTACCTCGTCACCGAGCCTGCCACGCCGATCCTTTTTTTCGCAACGGTAGAAAAGAATTGCCGTTCTTCCACGCATGCGCAACAAGTCTTATCATCATAAGTTGGGAACCAGCGGGTCTATTTCGAGCGGCAAATTATTGCGATCTCTCGTGACGGTAATTGGCCTAATACCACCTTTGTTTCTGATCATCGCGTGATAACGAACGTTCTTATAAAAATATAGGATATAAAAAAATATGATCGGATTTTCAATTATACGTATACATTTTCTCGTGACGAGCTTGAAGTTGATTTAAGTTTATTTTAAAGAGAATGTAAAAGAAGAAGAATTTATTGTACTATCTTTCAGATTTTTAATTTGAAATAATTCGAAATGGGCGGAAAGGGGATATAAAAGTTGGGTCTTTTTTAATTTTCTCCCAAGAATTAAGATCTATTTAAAACGTGAAAATTGATTCTTCTTAAAATTCATTTCGATCGCATGCCATTTTCACATCTCTCGCAAACTCTGCAATTTGCGATAATTTTAACAATCATACCGCCGTTTCTACCATCCTCTCCTCCTTCGTCTTAAATTGCCCGGTAACTCGCTATTAAATAAGTGTTGCGACATATTTGTGTTTGTCTCTCATTTTGAAATTGACTCTCAAAAGACTCTCTCACGAGCGTATCAACACGTCTTGTGTAATATAATAATCGTAACACGGTTCCACGATTCTAGCATAATTAACTTAAAATAAGTTATTCTTTTAATTATTCTTGCCTGCTGCGCGAGCGTAATTTTCTTACGCGGTCGTATTAAAAAAAAAAGAATATTTAGGAAGCTCTCATTAAACAATGTTGCATGCTCGATGCGTTTGTGGGGAAGCACAAGGAAAAGCGCCACGATACGAAACGTTCGCGCATTCCTATATGCTTTGAAGCGTTAAAACACGTCGGATAAATTCCAACGTTTCCTCGTACACACAACGTGTACACAACGAATATAATTGGTTTGCCTTTGGAAATTCTTCTAAAAGTTATACGGAAATATACGGAATTCCTTTAAACGAGGATGCATTAGATTGAAGGTAGATAGAAAGGATTGGCCGAATGGTAATTAATTAATCAGATTGGTCGGCGGGCTGGTTTCATTCCGTGGATGTGTAAGTAGAGAAAAAAGTTTAAGTACCCGCTATATTTCGCGTATTTATTTTAAACCTACCCGTGGTTTGGCAAAGTATTTTGATTAAGTTCCGCGAGAAGATCGAATAAACTATGCATTATTAGCAATGGTGGAAATATCAGATGAGAAATTAAATGCATACATCATATGAATTATTATACCGTGGTATAATTGGAAATTCTTGCACGTGTGGCCAACTTCGATACATAGAGTAGTTTCCAAGTCGCGTTCGTTAACTCGTTAATAACTCGCGTTCGAGGATATCTGTTATTTTCCATATTTTTCTATTACGATGTATATTAATGCACTATATATTCAAATAATGATATATTTCTATCCTCATTCCTTCTCCTTTATTTTTAATTTTCTAATTATTTAATATTATATAATTTTATAATATTATAATATTTAAACACATTTCGATATTTTTTAATTATAATTTTATTATCACCAAAAAATTACAAATTCTCAATTAACAGATTTCCATTATGACAATTACTGTATTACGTAATAGAATTGTTTCAATACGTAACAAAATCTAAACGTAATTCGATTATTTGTATATCGATCACAGATGTTTAGATATGATTGAGAAGAAATTCTTCTTCCCTTAAATCTTAACTCTTTCTCCCTTCCACGAAAGTATTTACAAGGATAATGATCAACAAGGGGTATGGGGAATTGTTATCGTCATATTCGCTGTAGCAAGGTGTATCACGTCAATCTGATCACGTACATTCTTTGGTATGGCACCACCGTGTATAGCTACGTCTGCGAGCTACCACGGTTGTAACGAGTCTGGTATGTGGTACGCTTTCACCGTTTGCAATATTCATACATCCACGCATTGTTATTACATGCTACGCGCGATGCAGAATGCCTGCATGTCGCGAATCGAAGTGATAAAATTACCGAGTGATGATGATTCTTTTTTTTTCCTTTCTTTCTTTCTTTTTATTTTCGAAACCGTATGGTTCTGGCGTCGTCATCCAACCGCGAAAACGTGTCCAACTTCTCGATTAACCCGACGCTAACTCCGACCAGGAATTCGAGTCGTGACATAAAAGCTTGAATAAAGTAGGATATTCAAACTTGGCTAGATTTATTCTCCTATTGGGATTAATATCGTTTGGATATTTTTTATTTTTATTTTTTTTTTTTTTCGTCGCATCGCGTGTGGGAATAAGAAATTTTATTAAACGAATTCATTACGAGGATTATCCTCCCTTATTCTCTTCTCATTCTTATTTCAGAAAATTTGTAATTTGATCTACATGTTGTTGTTTTATTATTATAAAGTAATATGCTATTGATTTTTATTGTATAAGTTATCAATTCGTTTATTTGGAAAAGAAAATAAGATCGAACGATGATTTTCGCAGTTTCTAAAGTAATTTTCTTCGTGATTTTATTTTGACTTTATTCAGGATCATTATTGACGCGTGATTATTCATTCAAAAAATAGTTAAATTTTTAAAATTATTTAATATATTGTTTTTTTTTTTTTTTTTGCGTTTTTAGAAAATTATTCATCCGATAACGAGAAATATATGAAACTTTCTCAAGAAATTTATTAAGATCGGAAGAAAAATTATTTCTCATTCCTTTGAGAAAAGTATATCCACGTGCATAACTATTTAGATTTATGAATTAATTATTCATGAAAGAATTTCATATCTAAATTCAAGAAGAATTTATACATACATGTGCTAATATTTAAGATAATATTATGTCTCTCTCTCTCATTCTCTCTCGTTTTGATTATAATTTCTCGTTTCTATATCTTTTAGATAGAATCGTTCCAAACATAGATGAACGTCTCTCAAAAAGACGCATAAAATGGGTTAACGTTAATGTCGTTTACGCAAGGGATTCCGGTTTCTCTAGAATGTGGGTTACCGCAAGTTTAAATCTATCCGTGTATAAACGGTACATAAATTTCCATCTCGTTCTATTGCTCGATCTAACCATGAATCGCAACGATTCGTGCAATGATACTAATTGATCTCTGGATTTGCGGATTTGCATCGTTAAAAAGAGTGTGTCGATTAAATAACGACGCTATATTCGTAGAAAATTCGTATTCTTATTTTAATATTTTAATCAGGAATATCACTGAAAAAATTAATCAAAATGATAACTTAATGACTCGAGATAATATTAACGAGAAGTTTCTTACGAAGCAAATGAAAATTTCGAAAAATTAATTTCTTTTAATGAAATTTGGAAATTTAATCTTACTCTCTTCTTCTTTTCTCCCTGTTTTCTACTTCTACTCTATTCCTTTCCTTTTAAACGCGATATCTCTCGTACACGTTGGCATCCACAAGTCCACCTTATAGAAACGAAATCATTTGTGCACAACCGTTTCACCGATGTAAATTTGTAATTACATAAAGGGGTCGGTGTCGGACAAGGGTTTCGAGAACGATACAATCTCATTACGCGTGCTCTATTACCAGTCACGTGCGTAGCGACGTCTCTTCGAAAAGGGGAGTTCCTTTCCGCTTTGCGGTGAACGCACAAGCGTTTTGATTGAGCTCGCGCGGTAGTAGACTCCCTCGATCGATAGTTGGATGTGTTTTCGCTCGAAATCGTTTATCGATAATCGTATGATGTTTTATACGACGTTTGTGCGCACATATTCGATTTTATCGATTTAGATATCTGATGAAATTATAACGAAATAACGAATGAACGCTTAACCGTTCGATGCTCTTTAATAATTTAGACGAAGGAAGAAACGAATATTACTATGGAACTCTGTTTATCTGATTTTCCATTTATTAAAATGAAATTTTCGCTAAGGTGAAATGGGTTCGATTATACGAATTTTAAAGCACAGGTAAAAAAAATAGTTCAACCTGAAAAATTTGTCAAATTTGTCATCCCTTAAAACATCTTCAACATTTGTCTCCTCTTTTAAATATTTTTCACTAGAATTTTTTCTCGAAATTTAATATTTCGTTACATCATTTTTCTTTTTTTTTTCTTTTTTTAGGCGAAGTCGAGAGTGAAGGAGGTGTACGCGCAGACATGCATGCTTCTCGGCCAGCAGGGCATGCGAGACTGCGAACTGTTCGGCCTGGCAATATTGTCCGGTGAGTAAATAATGGACTCTTTTATGTTCATAAAGAAGCATCGAAAGTAGGTAGAAAATTAAAAAAAGAAAAAAAATTCTAAAACGAATAGGAAACTTGCCGATCCCCATTGAAATCACGAATCTTTTGCAAACTTTTCTACCTGCCTCTTCGCGATCATAACTGGAATAACTTTCTAAATTTTCTACCTACTTTGTTTCGAACACCCTGTATACCTGTGCTCCCGTTTCCGTCGTTTTATCGTTTAACGGACGAAATGCGGTCGGACGGGACCGGTGAGCATCGTGAATGACTTGCGGGGTAGCTGTATCCGCCTCGAATTACGGCACGCCACTTTTTAACCTCCTACAGAGTAGATCGAATTACCGAAGCTCACGCGAGTCATTAGGTGTTGCGTTTCGCGAGAGAGCGCGAACCTTCTCCCGAATCACGATCCACGTTTCTGCTCACCTTGGACATCAATTGTCTCTGTCGATCGTCCACCATTTCGATGAATATTCTCGATTTTTTTTTTTTTTTTTTTTTTTTTTTTTCATCTCTTTCGCGAGAGATCGGATGGAAAATGAGACAATTAAAAAATCTCTTAAAAATTGTAAAAGTTTGGTTAACTCGATTAAACGTTTCATCTTCTGTATGTCTAAATTGTATGATCGAAAATTTAAGTATAATTTAACGGGAATAACATTTTCTGTGGAACGAATGTCGGTCAATTTCTCAGAATTCTCTTCTTCTCGTCGCGTGTATAAATGATGCGATTCGAGGGAGTATTCGGAAGAATTAAAGAACCCGATTCAATGCGAAAAACGAAAGGATAACGATAAGAAGGATACTTTCACTAACCGTTCTGTTGGATAACTCCGAGCGACACTCTATCCGATGAGAATCCAAAAGACTGTCCCGACCGAGATTCACTCGACCGAGGAGAAAGTATTCTAGACGTACTATCGATAGTTCTTGTAGAGAATCGCGTTTCAGAGAATTATATAGAAAATAAAATGGTAACGAATAAATAAAATAAACGAAAGGGGCGAAGGATAAACGAAAAAGATTTATAAACATTTATATTCTTTTATCCCTTTTTAAACATTGTTTGGGATAAAATGAATAAATTGGAATAATACGATATATTAAATTCTAATTATACACTTAAATATTTTATATTAATTATTTCTAATATCGTTAAAAATTGTTCGTATAATTTAAATATATTTTTATATTTTTGCAATTGATAATTAAATAACTAATAATCGATCGGTTCTATAATTGCGGTGTTTCGTGTATTTTTTATTAAAATTTCTCCATTAAAGAATTTTTACAAATAATATCGTAAGAGAAATATGTCGTTTTATATGGCAAAAGTGAAAGGAACCGAATGAAATGGAATGTGGAACCAGGCTCTCGATGCTGGGCCGCAGAGGGTTAAAATTTATTACGTGTGAATAGTTGAAATTACCTGCTTTTTTAGTATCTAGATAAATATCGCCCCAGCTCGAGCTTCTCCTTTTTATCGAGAAGAAACTGTACAACCAAAACGTTGATACTATGTAAGATTTAAAAAAAAAAAACTTCCCAAACAATCATACATTCGAAATTTAATAAAAAAGAAAAAAATCTTCTTTATTTAGAACAAAGTTAATAAATTATTACAATAAAACGTCTTTCTCTCACTACGAAATAATCGAGTGTATAATAATAAACTAAATCACTTCGATCGAAATGAATACTTTCCAAAAATTCTATCTTACTATTTTCTTCACAACAATCCCATGATCCGAAGCTGTGAAAGAAATCGGGAAATTTGAAACAAATATACGAAAAAAAAAAAAAAAAAAAAAAAAAAGAAAAAAATTCGCATTGGCGAAAAATCTTGTAGGTCTCGGAATACCAGCTTAATATCGCGCAAAGAGAGTCCTTGCCGAGTAGTCCGTTGACTAATCTTGAGATCTTTCTGCATATAGCCGTGGTCTTCTTGCTCTCCCTCGCCCTCTGGCCCCGGACACCATCCTCGGAGCTCCTTCCCTTCCCTTCACCGAATATACCCGGCTCTGCAGCGCTACCCTCTCGCTCTACTCTCTTGCCTTTCCACCAGTCATGACAAGCCGGTCCGACTGGTACCCCCACCAACGCGGCCGGACCCTTCTTGGGCCTCGCAAGGGCCCTGCGGGACCCCTCCCTCCTACATTCCAGCGGGGCCCCATCACGGCGAGGCTGAGCTGGCGGGTTTTGAGGCGCGCGAGCCATGCCACGACAGGAAAAAAATGCATCTGAAAAACGAAAACAAGTAGAAAAAGGTGGCTCACACCCCTGCATGCGTGCGTCGGTTTGCGTGAACGTTGCCCGGACCCCGTACCGAGGCCTCCTCCTTTCTCCTCCTTTCTTTCTTTCTTCCTTTCTTTTCGCTCCTCTACCTCCTCTGCGCGCCTCTTTACGCTCCTCTTCTTGCTCCACGCTCGCGTACGTGCCCGCAAACTGCTGCCTGCCTCTTCAACGCTTCTTCGTTTCCTTCTTCTCCTTCTTCTTCTTCTTCTTCTTCTCTTCTGCTTCGTCCTTGTCTCGATTCGCTTTCTACCGGCACATCTCCGCTCCCCCAAATATGTTTCCTTTCTAAGATGTTTCCTCAAGCATGGCCCTTCTCTCTCTACGTAAGTTTTCGTTTCTTATGGTTTCTGCAATCAAGATTTTTTTCCACACATTTTTCGAGCCCTCCTTTTTCTTCGAGTTTGCTCGCTCCTCTTCCTCTTCTTCTTCTTCCCTGCTCGTTCTCGTTGTCGTTCCTTTCGTCTCCCCGCTGCTGCTGTTGCTGCTGCTCCTCCACCACCTCCTCCTCCGTTTTCTCCTTTTTGTACCGGTTATTTCGTCTTCGTCTTGTCCCTCTATCCCGACCCCCATGCCCCTGGCGGTAAAATGACACGGACCAATCGCTGCTGCAATTTTGTAATCACCACCGTCTGCTCTTCGACGCTTCTTACTAAAAATAGATATCGAGAAAGATCGCTCCGGGCGAGCCGAGCGCAACCAGCCGCCGAAAAATTCTTTGGTTACAACCCCTCCGCCTGGCGAACGTGATCGAGCGGAGGTCCAAGGCTTTTTCGTATCTTCAAGGTCTTACCAAGGATGATTCTTCTCTAATTTTTTTACCGTGTTCTTTTCCTCTTTCGCGATAGAATAGTTATACGATTATTATAAAATTATTACAGTAGTACGATTACGTATTACTATCCAAACGTAATTTTGTAAATCGTTACAATTTTGATATCCATGGTTTGTCGAGATATTTCTTTTACCGTTATTTTTATCGTATTTTTCTTTTCCTCGTCGTTAGAAAACGATTCAAAGTTTATAACAGAATTATTACGTAATAATTAAACTTTGCAAATCATTGATCCCAATCCTTCCATTCGAGAATCGAGGTCTCGTCAAGGCCTTTCAAAACGTATTTATTTCTTTTCACGCTTCTTTTCCTTCTTAAAATTTTTGTCGGTACAATCATAACCCGAAATGCTCGGCCAATGAATCGAATATTTTATGATCTTCGCCAGGTATATATCTACAAAACGAAAAATTACGAAAGCAATCTTGGCAATTATGAATATATTTTCGCGAATTTATATCAAACTATTCGATACATCGACGCGATATTTGATTAAAAAAATATCATCCTCCACCGATAAAGAGAAACTGTGGAAGATCGGTCGCGGATGCCGCGATGTGTCGCGACTAATTTATTTGAAAGGTCAAATTTTTTGGGCGTCAACGCGTGGTACGTGTGCGTGACCGAGGGTCGAGGTGCGTGTTGTTCGCAACAGGAGAAAAAAAAAAAGGAAACCGACGAAAAGGGACATGAAAGTGCACGAGGGGTGGGGAGGGGTGAGAGGGGGAAGAGCGACGGACCGAGGAAGACAGGGTTAACGGATGCTGAAGCGAAAAGGGCGCGAGCGAGAGAGAGAGAGAGAGAGAGAGAGAGAGAGATCCACAACCCCCTGGCTCTCGCGCATTACATACAAAAAGAAAAAAAAAAGAAGAACGGAGAATGGATAACGGAGATGAAGAAGAGGACGCGTAGAAAACAGGCGACAAACCTACGATCTATGCCAAAATTCAAAGGCGGACGGAAGGAGAAAGAGAGAGAGAGAGAGAGAAAGAGCGATAAATGAAAGAGATATAACAAGAGTTGGCTTTGCGGATTGAGAAGGACAGAGACGAGGGATATAAAAAGGGAAGAAGAAGAAACGCGGAGAGGGACAAAAGGCGAAGAAAAAGAAGTGGCGGAGGATGAGACTGGGAAGGTGGAGGAAGAAGAGTGACAGAGAGGGAGGGAGATAGGGGAGGGAGGGAGCGAGAAGGGGAGAGAAAGAATGAGCCCGGGTAAGACGGTAGCCCGGTGATTTGTATAGGGCCTCTCGTATTCCACCTCCCGCCCAAGCGTCTCCGCCGCACGGCGACTTGGGACCCAGGAATGTGGAAGGAGGACTCCGAGGACAGGAATCGTCGACGCTGGCGCGCGCGCGCGAGCGAGCGAGCGAGCGAGCGCGATGGGCCGCGGGGGACGGGGAGGGATGGGAGGGGGCGAGTGGAAGCGAAGGATGGAGGGAGGCCGGCAAGGGCCAGGCGCGGAGAGAGGACCCGGCAAAGAGGGATTCAGAGGCGGAAGGGCGGAGGGGGAGGGTAGGCAGAGAATGGGCCTTAGCAGGTCCGTTGGATATATACCTCGATGAAGCTAAGGCTGCGTCACAACAGGGCTTCAACGTCCTTCCTTCCCCTCCATTACACATGCCGATCTTTCTCCTTCGCCGGTCTCCTCTCCGTAAGCAGCACCTCCTGTGCACCATTTGCCGAACGTTAGCGGACCCCTTTTTACTCTTCGTTTTTTTTCTTTTTTTTTTTTTTTTTTTCCTTTTGTTTCCTTCTCTTTTTTCCTTCCCCTTTCTTCCTTTCGTTCTTTTTCGAATTCTTTTCCCTTTTTTTTTTTTTTGTCTTTCTCCCTTTTTTTTTCTTTTTGC